TTCCCTATGATCACAAGAAATAGCTCAGCTCCTCAAGGAGCCTGCTTGTTCTCTGCCTCTAGAGGTACGCAATTGAGGAGACTCAGGAAAGTAGGGCCTCTCCTGAGGTCTTTCACCCCAGGTAATGGGCGTCCCTCAGGCAAAGGCCCTAAATGTTCAGTAGCCCATCATAGAGGTCAATAGGGAAGTGAGCTGTTTTGCCATAGGAGTTCAACACCAAATGGACCAGAATGAGCTATGTTGGGAGAAGCAGGGAGAAGCTATAGAAAAGGGACAGAGCCAAAACCATCTGGAGCATGGCATGCAGAACCGGAACCCTCACTGGGTGTTTTGCCTTCTGGGTAGGCCGTGGCTCTGGACACCTATGAGAAAGGCCAGTTGACATCCAGCATGGTGGATGATGTCTTCTACATTGTCAAGAAGTGCATTGGGCGGGCTCTGTCCAGCTCTAGCATCGACTGTCTCTGTGCCATGATCAACCTCGCCACCACAGAGCTGGAGTCTGACTTCAGGTATGGTTGATCCCCTTCCTCCTTTCTAGGTGGAAGATTCTAGTTATGGTTGATTCCTGTGGGCCATTTGTTTCTTCCCTTTTCTCCTTATCATTCTAGTTTAGTCCTATAGAAGACATGGGCTCCTGTCCCTAGCATGGCATCCCTGGCTCCAAGCTGTCCGTCAGTCAGATATCTTACAGGCTAGATTTCTGCACTGGACTGAAGGGGCTCTTGGCCCTCATACCTAGGAAAGATGAAAGCAGTAGTTGTTACAACAGTAATCGTGGTCACCTTTGCTACCAGCCAGGCACTATGCCAATCTGCTCTTTTTCAGTCATAGCAACTCTTATGAGGAAGCAGGTATCAGCCCTATTTTATAGATGAGGAAATTGGGGTTCCGGGAGATTCCATCCCTTGTCAAAGGACACACACCTCTCAAGTGGTGGAATGTAGAGTCTAGAACTAACTGACACAAAACATTCTTTTGGCTTCTACATGACCCACCTTTCACTAAGCTGTGCTGTCTCCACTTTGTCGGAGCTCAGTGGTGATAACTGAAAGCCATTACAATTCATTACTTCTTAGGAAGTATTGAATTGCCCGATCTCCTCTGTGTGATCTTGTCACTTCAGTGTCCTTGTGGGGGTATTGGTCACTCTTGCATCCTGGCCCCTGAGGTCTTCTACAGTGTTCTTAAGGACTGGCTGTTCTCCCAAAAGAGCAAGTTGTGCTGCTGGGTCAGGGTAGTAGCCTTCTGGCCCTGCTGTCCTGGGGCCAGGCTGAGCCCTGATGAGTCCATATGCCATCCTGCCCCCCAGGGACGTTCTGTGTAACAAGCTGCGGATGGGTTTCCCAGCCACCACCTTGCAGGACATCCAGCGTGGAGTGACAAGTGCCGTGAACATCATGCACAGCAGCCTTCAGCAGGGCAAATTCGACACAAAAGGCATCGAGAGCACCGACGAGGCCAAGCTGTCCTTCCTGGTAGGTAGCCCGCAGGTCGGGCTCTGGGTTGGTTTATCTTGAAGGCTTAAACTGACCTCTGAGCAACAGTGTAATCAGCCTTGAGCTGGGTACTATGGATAGCAGGCAAATTCTTCCTTTAAGGAAAGCATCTCCTAAAAGATTCTGAAGCCCTTTCTCACCTAGGGACCTGTCCTGAGCAGCCTGCTGTGTTTCCTGCCAGAAGGCGGAGCCCCCCAGCTCTGGTAGTGCTCGTTCCCAAGAGCTGAACTGCCCAGCTGTTTTGGGGCCCCGCTTCATTGCACCTGCCACAGAATCAACCGTAATGTCTTTGCCAAGCCCCCAGACTACTTCTCTGAGAACAGGCCCATAGTGTGAATAGGTGCCAAGCCTTTAGGCTTATCAGGGTGCCTTTTCTGGCAACTTTAAAGAGAGGAGACCTTAGTCACCCAGGTGACAGATATGATGAAGTAGCAAATCTAACCACTTGTGTTGCAGCCTAAGAAGGATGAGAGGTTTGTAGCAGGTAACAACCAGTTTGTGTCCCAAAGAGAGCTTGTAAGAGTGAGTCTTGGAGACCAGCAGGTAGTGTGGTAGTTAAAGGCTCTGGATTCCCACATGGCCAACCGAAGTTCAAGTCCCAGACCTGGCAGCTTGTTTCCTGCTTTCCCTTTCTCTCTCTCTCTCTGTCTCAGGTCAAATTTAAAAATAATAATAAGTAGAATTAAATAAATAAATCATTCTCTTAAAATTTCCATTTAAAAATAAAAGAAAAAAGAGTGAGTCTTAAGCTCATGATCAGGCCTCTCTGGCCCATGCTGGCTTAGCCCGAGTGGGAACGGCACTGTCAGAGGTCCACTCGCTCCATCCTCATGTTGACCAGACTCTGAGCCTCACCTCCTGATGGTCGGAACCCGGAGACATCCAGTAGCAGAATTCTCAATCCACAGTCCATAAATAAGGTCTTTGCAAAACCGTGTCCTTGCATTTTCTGGAAACCGTCCTCAGCTCATTTCAGATTCTTCAAAGGGTCTGTGAGCCCCAAGGATTTCAGAGCGATGATTTCAGGGGCCAGCAGATGGTTTAGCAGTTTTGTCACTAGACTCCCACGTTTGAGTCCCAGACCTGGTGGCTTGAAATTCATGTCAAGCATGCGTGCGTCCCCAAGATCCTGGAAGGAGAATGGAGGAGAAGGGATTGCTTTGTGGCCATCTCCCCTTGGGGGTGATTTCTCGCTTTCTGTCTCTGTGTGTGTCTCTGGTGAGCGCATGCACCCTATAGCAAAAAACTCTCAAAAAAGGGGGAAGGTGGGGGCTAATGATTTCAGAGACAAAAGCCTGAACTGACTGTAGCTATTGTGTCTATCCTACCCCTGAACAGGAGAGCCCACAATAACTAGGCACCCAATACGAAAGCTAATATTTAGGCAGGCCCCACTTTCTTCTTGTCATTGAAAAATCCCTTCCCTGTGCATGGATTCCCTCAATGTGGCATGTCATGGTGGTACCAATAAAGATGATCACCTCTAAGAAACTCTTGCCTCTGAACGCAGTACTTCTGGGGAACTTCGCTAAGGTGTTCCACAACCAGGATCATACCGTCACAAACTCGGACTGTTTACTGTGTTTGCATGCTGCTTCCTATAATTTTTTTACCAAACTTATTTTCATCCTCTCTTTTCTGCGCTCAGAAACATTCATCACTCCTTGCCAACTACCACATCAATATTGTTGGGTTGTCAGAAAAGTCATAATATATTTTTCCATGTTCTATGCAAAAATGTGTCATGACTTTTCCAACGACCTCAGAGTTGTCTTTGCCTGTATGTTTGTTTAAGGCCCTCCATATCTCTCTAACCTATCCTTCCATTCTGGTTCTGTTTTTCCACCACTTGGCTACACACGTCCCCAAGCCTGGCCTGGGTTTCTCGCTCATGGGCTACGGTGAGGACCTCCCATTCCATTTCATTGTTTCAGGACCCAGAAGATAAGGCCCAAAACAAAGGAGATGCTAAATGCTTGGTGACAGGTTTCCAGTTTTCCTGATGCCAGGTACTTAGAATGTCATCACTCCCACTGCAAGGCCTATTTTTTATGTCACCTTGATTCATTTGGCTGTCAAGATGAATTTCCCAGCTGTACTAACATATCCTTCACCATGGGCAGGATGTAAGCGCAGTGAAGCCATGTTTATAAGGACCGTCAGTACAAGGGACACTTGCAATCTATACCATTTGAGCCCACGTCCTTTCTCCCTTCTTGACAAGGATTCTTGGTGCCCTTTAGTGCCTTGGAAGCATTTACAGCGTGGCCCTCATCCTTCAGCTGTCATCATAGTGCAGTTATTTTTCCAGAAACTTGTCATGCTAGCAACCTTGTGGGGTGTGTGTGTGTGTGTGTGTGTGTGTATGTATATATGTATATATGTGTATATATATATATATATATATTTAATCGACTGGCATGGAGTTTAAGGTAATTGGATCCCAAATAGCTAACTCTGCAGTTTACGTCCTGGACCCAGTGGCTTCAAAATCATACCAGGCATGGGGCTGGGAAGGCTTGGTGGTTAAGGGTGCAGGACTCCCAATGCCAGCCGCAGTTCATGTCCTGGACCTGGCAGCTCGCTTTTTCACTTTCTTTCTCTGTCTCTCTCACTCTGTCCCTCTCTGGTCAAATTAAAATAAATAAAGTTAAATAAAATAATTCTTAAAAAAAAAAAAACAACAAAGTCACACCAGGCGTGTGTGCAAGCATGTCCAAAACCCAGAGGAGAACGGAGGAGAGAGGATCGAGGTTTAGCCATCCCCCCAAGGAGTGATTTCTTACTTTCCCTATCTTTCCCTCTGTTTCTGTCCCTGGCTCTTTCTAGCAAGTGCATGCACTCTATAGCAAAAACCTTAAATAAATAAAAGCCTCTGTTATGGTGGTTGGGGAAGCTGTATTCCACGTGGCTGACTACATGGTTCAAGTCCTGGACCTAGCAACTTGAGAAACAAACCAGCACATGTGCGTGCATGCCCAAAATCCCGAAAAGAAGATGGAGTACAAGGGATTATGACTTCACTGTCCTCCCACCCCTGGGTAGGGGGTGCTATCTCACTTTCCCTCTCTCTCTCTCTCTCTCTCTCCATCACCAGCCAGGGCATGCACTCTCTAGCCACACACACACACACACACACACACACACACACACACACACCCCTAAGATCCTGAGAAGCTGGAGGGCTGGAGGAAGATCTCAACATGACCAGAACCGTTGCGGGCTGCCTTTCCTCTCTCTCTACCGCTCTTTCTCTCTGTGTGTGTCATGCACACTTTTTTTTCAGTTTGCTATAGAGCACATGCACTCACCAGAGACAGAGAAAGGGAAAGTGAGAAATCACCCCCAAGAGGGGATGTCCACATCACAATCCCTTCCCCTCCACTCTCCTTTCAGGATTTTGGGCAACCATGCACACATGCCTGGCATGATTTTCAAGTCATCAGATCTGGAACTCAGACTGCGGTTGGCCATGGGATCCAGCCGAGCTAACCAGCGTGCCACCATCCAGCCCCAACAGGTTTTCTTTCCATAGTAGTTTGTGCCCGCGTTAGCACTTTTGTCACATGCTGCTTTTTTGGTGGGTATTTCTGTGTTCATCTATAGGGCAGTTGAGTTATGAAAGAAGGACCTCTTGGTCCAGGGTAGGGACACCTGAATTCTGGTCCTGGCTCCAACTCGTGGCCTTGTTACTCTCACGTTTCTGTCCCTTACCCTGCTTTCATTTTCTTCGTGGTGGTCATGGCTACGTGACATTGTGTAACATATTTCTCTACTGTCTGACTTCCTTTCTAGAATGTCATCTCTATGAAAGGTGGATCTGGGGTTTTTTGTTAACTGCTTCTTCCCCCGCGGTGCCTAGAACAGTGTCTGCCACATAGCATTTGCTCAGTAAACTCTTGGCAGATCAGCTGTTGGCTGACCTTGGTGAATTATTTCACCTTCTGAGGAGTTTCACTGTCCCCTCCTATGAACATGGCCTGATAGTACCTGTTTTGTGAGAGTATTCATCAGGGTCAGCGAGAACCTACGTGAGAAAAATGCCTCCTAGGTGGCAGGTTATCGGGAGGCTCTACTTTAGTGCATGTCAGGCTTTGCACCCCTGACCTGGGCTTGGAACTGTGGAGCTCAGAACTTGCCCAGGCCAGTGTGCCTGAGGCACTGCTGGTCTGTAGGTTACCTAAAGCGAAGACCCCTGGAACCTGGGCGCACTGCCTCAGAGGTCGGGACGGGTTTGCTGCCTGGCTGAGCCGGCCCACCGCCCAGTCGGGGATGTGTGCAGTGTCCCTGCTGACAGGGGGGTGGCCTTCTCAGCCTGAGTCTAAACTGCGGCCAGCCCTTCCTGAGCCTCATGGAGCGTAGCCATAGCCACCTGCCCTTGGAGTGGATGCAAGCACCAGTGAGCAGGAAGTCATGGTCTCCCTTCCTCGTCCTCAGGTGACTCTGAACAACGTGGAGGTCTGCAGTGAGAACATCTCTACTTTGAAGAAGACGCTGGAGGTACGGGGGAAATTGCCTATCGGCTTTCAGCAGCTCCACACCTTGACAGAGCCCTGAGCATTCATCTTGGTGGGGACTGGGGCAATCCCTGCCACTGAGCCACACTTGAGGGGATTTACTGGTAACTGACAGGGAAGCAAGGCATTTCTGAACTAGTGGGAAAACCTCAGGAGCTGGAAGATCAGAAACTAGATCTTTCAGCACATATTTGTCATGTGATCTTGGGCAAGTCCCTTAACTTTTTTTTTTTAATTATTTTATTTATTTATTTATTTACTTACTTACTTACTTATTTACCAGGGAGAGAGAGACAGAGAGAGAAATGAGAAAGCAAACTGCCAGGTCCGAACCGCAGTCGGCCATGTGGGGGTCCAGTGATCTTAACCACCACCCACCTGCCAGCCCTTAAGAGAGGCTTTCGCTATAGGGCATTTGTGCTCTCCAGAGAGACAGGGGCAGAGTGTGGGATTGTGGCCACCCACATTCTTTTCCCCTCCACTCTCTTCTCAGGAGTTTGAGCACAAACGTGCCCAACTGTGTTTCAAGCCACCAAGTCCGGGACTCAAACTGCCGTCAGCTGTGTGGGAGTCCAACAACATAGTTATTATGGCATCTGCTGGTCTCCAAGTCTCTTAACTTCTGAGCCTTGATTCTTTCGCCTATGAAATGAGATACAGATTTCCGCATGTGTTTCAGCAACATAATTTTTTTTTAAGAGGTTTTTGCTATAGGGTGCATGTACTCACCAGAAAGACAGAGAGAGACAGAGAGATAGATAGAAAGCGAGAAATCACCCCCCAGGGGGATGGCCACACCGCAATCCTTTCTCCTCCATTCTCCTCTCAGGATTTTGGGCACGCACACATACGCACCCAGCGTGAGTTTAAGCCACTGGGTCTGGGACTCGAACCATGGTCGACTACATGGGAGTTCAGCGACATAGACATTCGCTAACTGCTGGTCCCGCAACATAATTTTTTTAGAGCAACTTTTGCTATAGAGAGCATGTACTTGCTGGAGAGACAGAGAGATAGACAGAAAGTGAGAAGTCCCCCCTCTGGGGGCATGGCCACACCACAATCCCTTCTCCTCCATTCTCCTCTTGGGATTTTGGGCACTCACACACACATGCCTGGTGTGAGCTTCAAGCCACCTCATTTAAGACTCGAACCCCAGTCAACTATGTGAGAGTCCAACAACATAACCATTGTGGCATCTGCTGATCCCGCCGGTTGGCAACGTAATTTAAAAACAAAACAAAATAATCATATACGCAAAAACCAGCTTAAAAGTGCCTTATACAAATGACAAAACCTGGGGTGCCAACAGGTGGCATGGTGGTGAAGGCGTTGGACACTCCCACATGGCCAACCACAGTTCGAGTCCTTGACCTTGAGGCTTGCTTATTCACTTTACCTCTCTCTCTTTCTCTGTGTCTCTCTCTCTGGTCAAATTAAAATAAGTGAATGAATGAATAAATATTTTTTTAAAAAAAGACAAAACCCTTTATTAATGTAGGAGATCAAGGCTCACCAAACCCTGTGCAGAGCTGGTTGTCGTTACCATTTTGAGGGAAAACAGCGCAGTTCAGTGGAAATTGCTTGAATCCTGTATCCCTAAGTTTGAATCTCTGTTTGACCACTGGCCAGCTGGGTGTGCCCTTAGGCAAATACTGAGCCCCATCCTCTGATTTGTAAAGCAGGGAAAGTTACCTCTGCCCCACAGGGTTGCCGTGAGATGAATGTGGTAATGTGTATACAGACTCCGGTACACAAGAGGCATGCAGTGATCCTTAATAATTGTATTAGCAGTTAAAAATAACAGCATGGAGGGGCCAGCAGGTGGTGTGGTGGTTACGGCGCTGGACTTCCACACAGCCGATCACTGTTTGAGTCCTGGATCTGGCAGCTTGCTTTCCTCACTTGCCCTTTCTCTCTCTCTCTCCCTGTATCTCTCTGGTCAAAATAAAAAATAATAATAAAATGAAAACCATATATATATTTTTTTTTTTTTTTGGAGAGGTTTTCGCCATAGGGCACGTGCACTCACCAGACAGACAGACAGAGACATAGAGACAGAAAGCGAGAAATCACCCCCCAGAGGGGATGGTCACACTGCAATCCCTTCTCCTCCATTCTCCTCTCGGGATCTTGGGCGCGCACGCACACGCACCCGGCGTGAGTTTTAAGCCACCGAGTCCGGGACATGGACCGCGGTCGACTACGTGGGAGTCCAGCGACATAGCCATTACGCTAACTGCTGGTTCCCCAAATTAAATAACATCATAGAGCAGTCACTTTGGTAATTATTAGACAATGCAGGGCCCAGTTCTTCTCTATCCCAAACTCAGCCTTTGAGACAGGAGAGAAACCAGGGCCCGGTCTCCATGGTGGGCACTTGTGCAGAGAAGGGTGGGGGTTTTGCAGGTCAGGCAGAAGGCTGCACACACAAGCTGGTGTGAGGGGTGGGCTTTAGGCTGGGCAGACTGGTGAGGGGCTGGGAGCCAGCACACAGGGAAGAGAGGCCTGGTACCTATGGGTGTTCCTGAGGGAGACTCAGAACAGTCAGGTAGGAGTTCACACTCCCACTACAAAACTGGTCCTCAAATGGAATAAAATAAGGTGACACAATCTACTGACAAAGCAGGTTGTTACGTCATGCCACTTTAGACTGTATTCCTGACGTCATTCTTGGACTCCCGCATGGCTGGCCGTGGTTCTAGTCCCAGACCTGGTGGCTTGAAAATCATGTCAGGCATGTGTGCATGCGTGCCCAAAATCCGAGGAGGAGATTGTGGCATGGCCATCCCCCTGGGGAGTGATTTCTCACTTTCCCTCTCACTGTCTCTCTCCAGTAAGCGTGAGCACCCTATAGCAAAAACCTAAAAACTAAATAAAAATAAACCAAAGTTATTTACAATAGTTCTTTTATGTGTTTTTAAAGGAGGGCAGGTACTTTAACAAAAGTAAAAGGGCTAGGCTAGCCCCACATAATTAGTAAGTAACTCTTAGCAGTGATCATGACAATGTCCCCTTAGCAGCCAGACCAAAATTTTTAAGAAGCAGAGATCATGACAGTAGTTAGGGACTCCTTTGTGTCTGCTGCGTGGCAGGCACTGGGATAAGTGCTCTGCAGCCTCGCGTGCCACTCACAACAGTCCTGGGGCAGGAATTTGTGCTCCCGTCTTATAGACAGGGAAGTTGAAGCCCAGAAACTTTGACTCATTTGCCCAAGATCACTTAATACATGACCAAGCCAGGACCTGAGCCTAGGAATGTCGAGCTTTACAAATTGGCAGAGATTTCTGGCATGTGTGTTTCTCCTTCACTTCCTGTGACACTGGTACTCCTCTATTACAAAAGGGAAAGTGGGATCCAAGTGGCTAGCCACCCCAACAGAAGCCAGGCTTTCCGAAGGCCGTCCAGGGGTCTCGCCTCCCGTAGGCCATCCTGCTCCCATAAAAGGCTGGAGAAGTGGCTCCTCTGCCTCTGCTCGTACGCCCTTGGCCCAGGCGTACTCGGTAGACTGAAGGCTGTGTTCTCCCCTAGAGTGACTGCACCAAGCTGTTCAGCCAGGGCATTGGAGGGGAGCAGGCCCAGGCCAAGTTTGACAGCTGCCTCTCTGACTTGGCCGCTGTGTCCAACAAATTCCGGGACCTCTTGCAGGTAAGCCCTGGTCCGGGGCTGACCGGAGCCTGTTCCCTTCTGTTGCTCCGAAGACCGTGAGCGGCTTACTGTGGGCTCCATTGTATACAAGGAAGCAGGGGGCAGGGCTGAGGGAGTGGCATGCGAGCCACTGAGACTATGCAGTCCCTAGAGACTGAGGCCCTGTTGGTTTCCGGCAGCACAGATGTGACATTGACAAGCCAGCATCTGGTCCTCTAGCATCTCCACTTGGCCCCACAATGACAAGAGCCTTCAGAAAGATGCTCAGAGGAAGTGGGGCCACATGGTTGCTGTGGCCTGCTGTGTGGCTGCATCTGCAGGCACTGCCTAGCACCAGGCACTCTAAAACCTCTGAGTTTGCCAGAACAACCCCAGGGCCTGGCTCTAGCTCGGACCTGAATCAGCATAGACCTGGAAAGCAATACTTGTTCCTGGTGGCTTCTATTAGCATTATCTATTGTGCTTCCAAGGGGCCTGCAGAGAGCCTCACAGCTAGAAGACTGCCCTGCAGCCAGAGCTGGATGGGAGGGAAGGAAGAGGCTGCTGGAGGTGGGCTTTCCTGTCTGACGAGCATCTGCCTCTGCTTGTGCAGGAGGGACTGGCCGAGCTCAACAGCACAGCAGTCAAGCCGCAGGTGCAGCCGTGGATCAACACCTTTCTCTCAGTCTCCCACAACATCGAGGAGGTCAGGAGCCGAGACCAGGAGTCCCCCTGTGGGTGGGCAGCGGGGCCGTGGAACAGAGCAGGCCTGGCATGCTTCTCAGCCCACTCCGCCACCCTCAAAGACCTGGCTGCTCCAGGAGACAGTGCATTCCTTCCGTCAGAGGGCTGCCATCTGAGGGAGTGTGCCCTGACCTGGCTCTCCCTCTTTGCCCCACCTGTTGTAGCCTTAGGAGCCTACTTCCTTTACCAAGCGCTTTCATCCCTGTAAAACGTGAGGAGCAAGGAGTGCGGTGCCGGGAGCCCGGGCTGGCCTCTGGGCAGATGTGTGATGCAGGGGTAGTCTCTGGCAGCCAGGAGTCCAGGCTGGCTATACTGCACGAGGCCGAACCTGCAGGGGAGCGAGGGCCTCTTCCATCATCGCTGGGGTGATACATCTCAGGAGGAGGCCCCTGGTGACCCACTTTGTTTCCTGACAATAGGAAGAATTCAATGACTATGAGGCCAACGACCCTTGGGTACAACAGTTCATCCTTAACTTGGAGCAGCAGATGGCAGAGTTCAAGGTGAGCAGGGCTACAGGGACGAGCTTATGGAATTGCCCACCTCTGCCTAAACCAGCAGCCCATGGGCTCTTGTCACACTCAGCGAGGAGCGTGTAGGAACCTGCCCGTGGCCTTGCATAACTGTCCTGCCCCCAGAAAGCTCCAGTGCAGAGGCACAGGGGCCAGGTGGGACTCCTGTTGACACTGAGCCTCTGTGTCCAGGCCAGCCTGTCCCCAGTCATCTATGACAGCCTGACCGGACTCATGACCAGCCTCGTTGCTGTCGAGTTGGAGAAAGTGGTGCTGAAATCCACCTTCAACCGGGTAAGACTGAGGGGGCGCGGGCCCACAGCTCTGTCCTTCCTCTGCCGAGAACAAGTCCTGCCACCCGAGACTTGCATCCCCTCTGCTACCTACAGACCCTGCATATCCAGGCCCAGGCCTGCCCTGTCTTCTAAGGCTTCAGAGAAACTGGAGCCACGGGCACTGCCTGAGGCCCAGCCGGCCTTGCCACCGTGCTGAGGGCAGTTGGAGCCTCGCTCTGCATGGCCAGAGGGCTGACCCTGAACAGCAGCTGGCCTGTGTTCCCCTGCAGCTGGGGGGTCTGCAGTTCGACAAGGAGCTGAGGTCACTTATTGCCTACCTTACCACGGTGACCACCTGGACCATCCGAGACAAGTTTGCCCGGCTCTCCCAGATGGCCACAATCCTCAATCTGGAGCGGGTATGTGGGCTCCCTCCCTGGCCAGGGAGAGGTGAATGGTAAGAGAGGTGAAGGCAAAATCTGGATCCCTGCTGTTACCCCAAAACCAGCAGCCCGGCCCTGTGAATACCCCTGCCCTGCCCCCCAGCAGGGCCCTAGGCCTTCCCTTAGGGGAGCCCTGCTTTGCTGACTGCTGTCTGTTCTGCCTCAGGTGACTGAGATCCTAGATTACTGGGGTGCCAACTCCGGCCCGTTGACGTGGCGCCTGACCCCTGCCGAGGTCCGCCAGGTGCTGGCTCTGCGCATAGACTTCCGCAGCGAGGACATCAAGCGGCTGCGCCTGTAGCGGCCGGGGCGAGCATCCAGCCACATGTCTGGGGCCCATTCCCCACGAGCCACAGCCACGGAGACGGCAAGGCAGTCTGGCTTAGGGAAGCTCTGACAGCTCGGACTGCCCCGCTGCCCAGGCCTGGATTCTCCATGCTCTGCCCTCAGAGCTAGCTGAGGGGGCAGCTTTCCCCACCCAGAGAGGTGGACCCCCTGAGAAGGCAGCACACACGGCCGGCCGGCCTCTCACCCACACACACTACAGCAAGCAGGCTGTTCCTTCCAGCCGAGGGGACCGGTACATCTGGGGACATGGGAGCTCGGCTGGACTCCAAGGGAAGGCTGTGACATTTATGATCCCCGAATAAAGACACTCTCAGAGAGATGCCAATGTGCTGTTTTGGGGGAGGGCTGGCAGCCATGGGGCAGGACAGGCCCACCAGTTGCACTGAAACGTGAAGGCAAGAGCCTAAGGCCTCAGCCTCCATCCGCACCTTGGGCAGCGCACTGAAGCCTCCAGGAGCCCTGAGGGTGGCCCTCACCCAATCTTGGACCCTCGACCCTATCTTGGGCCCTCAACACCTTCTGAATCATCCCAGGGACAGTTTCCCACAGAGCAGAAAGTGGGAATTACTGCCAGCAGGAACAAAAAAGAGCTTTTTAAGGACAGTATGAATTTATTCCAAGAGTGTCAGTCTTGAGAAGCCGCTGCCCACGGTGCTGGGTCACTTGGCACAGTCCATGGTGTTGCTGGTTAAGGCCTGGGCTGGCAGTGACTTACAGGACCACGTGGCTCACTGCCAGCCAGGAATGGGCCCTCCACCTCTCCCACTCCCCATGAGCTGGGGAGCAAGGGTGGAGTCCAGCTCAAAGGAAGGCCACAGGAAATGCCTCAGAGGGCTCTTCGGGGTCAGCCTCCCCACGGTGCCCCAGCTGAGGCTGGTTGACATCCTCTTCGTCCAGGGCGCCGTGGACAGTGGGAAGGCCATGGTCCAAGCTGCCATGGGAGTTGTAAAGGCCACAGGGGACACCAAGCATAAAACCTTGCTCTGTCCATCTGGGGCAGAGGCCCAGCCTAGGCCACGTCAGCCGGGAGGTCACAGTCCTGTTCCCAAGCCGTCTGCTTGCCCAGGACTTGCTCAGGTGAACCTGGGAGCAGCTTCCCAGCGGTGGGTGGGAAGTGGAAGGCTGAGCGCTCCGGGAATGGGGCATCAGGTCGAGGCTTCACTCTCCAGCAGCTCCAGGCTCAGGCCCTGAGTGTCCACTTCCACCAGGTGGACACTGTAGTTCCCAAGGCCCTGGGCAGGACAGAACGTGTTCAGAGGACTCAGTGGACTGAGGCAGCAGGGCCAGGAGACTTGCAGCCAGAGCCCCACTTGGCCAGTGGGTCACAGCAAGGCCCCTTGCTCCCACCAGCCACCAACCCAATACTGCCAGGTACCTCAGTCTCGGCCAGCACAGCCTCTAGAGCCTCCTTTTGCCGCGGCTTCTTGGTCAGCAGATAGAGAAAGCCCCCACCACCTGCCCCTGCGAGGCTCTGGCCATGCACATGGGGCGCCAGGACATCCATCATGTGCCGCACAGCCAGGGGCTCGCAGCCTGGAGCCATGAGCTTCTTCTGCTCCCAGTACGAGGTCAGGTACTGCCCCAGCAGGGGCAGGCTTCCTGGGAGGGGGCAAAGAGGGGAGTGTGTTTGGCCACAGTCCTCCTGTAACACCCATCTGGAGACAATGAAATGCCAAGAGGCGCTCCCTAGCCACTGTCATGGTCAAGAACCTGGGTTCCAAGATCAGCTGGAAACGAATAATGAAGCCCACTGAGAGGGTGGTTGGACTCATGTACTAATGGGACAACATGGTGCCCAGTAGTTAGTGCTCAGGGACCCGTGGAGTCCTGCTCAGCTCCCACTGCCCTGGAAACCGACGAGGGGCCAGCTTCTTCCCACCTGCTTCTCGCAGGTGGAGCTCATCCTGATATAAGTTTCCCAGCAAGGTGAGACCCTGGGGAAGGCAGTTTCCAGGGGCTTATTATCTGGGATCTATGCCAAGTCTGTAGGGGCCTCTGGCCTCTGAGCCCCACAAGTGACAAGGCGCTTTCTCTTGTTGCCCTGACCTCTCTGGAGTAAGTGTCTCACCTTGGCGGAAGGCTTCGGCACACTCCTCAGTCTGCCGCACCAGGCTGTGGGCGTTCTGCACGACAGCAGGCAGCCGGGCGTACCAGCTCCTCAGCACATCCTGCAGACCGGCAGGAGAGGTGCACTGAGGGTCAGGGCCCACCTGAGCCCCTGGCCTCCCTCCCTCGTCCTGGGGCCAGGCCTCACCTGTAGTAGGTTCCGTGCCAGGCGGGTCTTGCCAGTGTACACCAGGAGCAGGTGGTCATTGAGCTTCTGCACAAAGCCCTCAGGCACAGCGAGCTTCTCCACCTCCACCTTCAGTGGCAGCTGAGCCCGAGAACGTCCCACCTTGATGCCAGGCATTAGGCCACCCACTTGGTCCTGCCAGCCACCTCCTGTGAGTTCAGGGCCCCATCACTGTTAGAGCTCATTGACCCAATTTCACTCTCCCAGCCCAGGTTCCCAGCCCTGCACCCCTGCCTGGGACCAGTGTGGGCAGACAGCCGCTCCAGACCCCAGCTATAATATGTGACCTGTGCAGCTTCTGCCCCAGGCCTGGGAGCAGGGCAGTCCCATGGAGGAGTCCAACCCGGTGGGGCTCCAGGACCCGTCTGAGCCCCTTGACCTTTGAGCATCGCTTCCGGTCGGTTCAGTGAGTTGGCAAGGCCGCGACTGTACGCCCCCCGACCATGGAACAGGCTTGGGTCACTTAGCATGTTGGCAAGGCCGCCTGCTATTCGCTCCGGGACTGTGATAGCCTTGCTGGGAAGTGACCCCCCTCTGACTCCCCGATATACTACTATAAAAGAATTACATAGCTCCCTCATACATTTTGAGTGTGTGGTAGGATTTCCC